GCAACAATTGTTATTTTGAGCGTGCATTACACACCCCTTTAGGTCCCTGACATATGCAACACAATCGCACTTCAAACAACCTCTAGCTACAGGTGTAGTTTTTTAAACTACAGCTTGCTCACTACAGACGGCCTTCGTGCCGTATAGGGCGGCTTGCTATCTTTGCCAGTGTTGTGGACAGCCGGAGCCACAGAGTGGGAGAGGGAGGACTTTCTCTTACACTGTTTAGAGGACAGAGTTGTCTTGGGGGTGCGGGGGGGTCGGGCTTTGATATATGCACCCTCCCCAAAAAAAGCCATACATTCCAGCACAGCGCCTCGCTATTATTATAGGTCTGCTGCATGCCAGCCCCATGCTGTGTGGCTGTGTGGTGTGTGTGTCTGTGCTGTGTGTAAAACAGTGTGTGTCGCGGGCTGAACTTCCCTCGTCCTGCCCAGAAAATGAAGGGGAGGGATAGGAGGCGTCGACGTCGGCGCCTCGCAGAGATTGCCCGCTACGGCCAGCCAGGAGCGGGAGCAGAGGCAGGACGCGCCGCCTGCGGCGGACGGACGGACGCCCTGCTGGCTGCAGCCGCAGAGTTCACTGCTGCAGAGACAACAAGGCACCAGGCAGCCTCTGCGGAAGCGATGGAGCAGGGAGAGAGAGAGCACGAGCAGAGGCTGAACAACCGCCAAACACCGCGGAAAAACTTGCACAGACATACAGCACAGCCATAATGGCGGCACCGCCCGCCGAGATCCAGGAGGCTGATGTGACTGTGCCAACCACCCAGAACCAGGAGGCGCAAGCCGGCGCACACCACCAACCACCTCTTCCCCTCCCCGAACAAGAATATGCCTCCGCCTTCGTCACGGTGTGCGCCGGGCCCAGGTCGGTCGGTCGCGTCGCTGCTGTCATGTCTTGCGAGCGCCTACAGCGGTGGGTGGGCAGGGGGGACATGTGCCCTCTCTAACCGTAGAGGCGAGTCACCTTGGGCTGTAGGAAATTGTAACGTTTTACTCCTATTTTATTGAATCGGTCCTCCTCACATTTCCTTTGTTAGCCAGTACATTACCAGGCACGACCCTAAATGACCTTCCACACCTGCACAAGGTGAGCTCTGTCCTGGCTGATCCGAGCCGCCCACTGTCCAGATAGTTTAAGTCGCCTTCGTCTGGCTGCAGACGCCAAGATGAAGGACCAACAGACTTAAACAGTGATCTGTTCCTGCCTTTTAAACAACTTTATGTGATCTTTGTATCGTATTTATGGTCTGTTGGTTGATGGTTATGATGGTTATTGTGTTATCTTTGGGGATAAAGCTATCCTTGATCCCAATGTGCTTTTTTCACAGTTTTTGGATGTTTTTTTTTGCAAATAATCAAGAAAATATCAATCATGATAATAGAAATAATCATTAGGCCTATTTGCAGCCTCCTGTCAGATGTTAAATAACATTTGAAGTGTTGTGTGTTGTTATTTAAAGTGTTGGATTTAGTGGCATCTAGCAGTGAAGTTGCAGATTGAAACCATTTGAATACATCTCAGCCTTCCAAGTGTGTAGGACAG